TCTGTAGTAGACCCCCACCGTTAAGTCTCTGCCTTGTATTCTAACCCAGAGCACTTCAGAATGCCCCTCCTCTGACTCTTTGCTAATTGACAAGGATATGTATTCCTCCTTAATGTAGAGCACCATGCCCCCACCTTTCCCCCCTGTCCTATCCCTCCTGTACAGCCTATAGCCCTTGACATTTACCGCCCAGTCATGTACTGGGTCCCACCATGTTTCAGTGAGCCCCACTATGTCTGGGTTGGTGTCAGCTAGCAGGACGGTAAGTTCCTCCTGCTTGTTTCCCATACTATTAGTGTTTGTGTAGAGGCATCTTCCAGGTCACTGATGAAGACATTGAACAAAACCAACCCCAGGACTGACCCTGGGGTTGGCTTGATACCAGCTGCCAACTAGACATCAAGCCATTGATTACTACTCTCTGAGCCCGATGCTTCAGCCAGTTTTTTATCCACCTTACAACCCATTCATCCAGCCCATACTTCTTTAGCTTGCCCATGAGAATGCTGTGAAAGCCCATATCAAAAGCCTTGCTAAAATCAAGGTACACCACATTCACCAGTTTCCCTGCACCCACAGATCCAGTCACCTCATCACAGAGGCAATCAGGTTGGTCAGGCATTACTTGCCCTTGGTGAATCCATGCTCTGTTCCTAATGACCTTCTTCTCCTCCAAGTGCTTAGAAATGAATTCCTTGAGGACCTGCTCCATGCCTTTTTTCCAGGGACTGAGGTGAGGCTGACAAGTTTGTAGTTCCCTGGATCTTCCTTCTTCCCTTTCTTAAAGATGGACGCTATGTTTGTCCTTTTCCAATCATCCAGGACCAATCCTGATCACGATGAGTTTTCAAAGTTGATGGCCCATGATTCTGTAATCACATCAGCCAACTCCCTCAACACCCTAGGGTGCATTTCATCCAGCCACATGGACTTGTACACATCCAGCTTTTCTAAGTAGTCCCTAACCTGTTCTTTTAGCACTAAGGGCTGCTCACCTCCTCCCCAAACTGTGCTGCCCAGTGCAGTAGTCTGGGAGTTGACCTTGCTGGTGAAGACTAAGCAAAAATGGCATTGAGCACTCCAGCCTTTTCTGCATTCTCTGTCACAAGGTTGCCTCCTCCATTCAGTAAGGGACCCATACTTCCCTGATTCTCCTCTTCCTACCGACACACTTGTAGAAACCCTTCTTGTTACCCTTTACATCTCTTGCTGGCTGCAACTCCAACTGCGCTCTGGCCTTCCTGAATTCATCTCTGCACACTGGAGCAATGCTCTTATATTCTTCCCTAGTTATTTGTTCAAGTTTCCACTTCTTCTTTGTGATTTAGTTTACTGAGGAGTTCCCTCTAAGCCAAGCTGCTCTTCTGCCATACTTACTAGTCTTCCTACACACCAGTTCCTCCACTCAGTTTCAGTTTCACAGTAGCTAGGGTCAGGAGGGACCTGAACAGATCATCTAGCCTAACCCCCTGCCACAGGCAGGAATGAATGCTGGGTTCACAAAACTCCAGACAGGTGATCATCCAACCTCCTCTTGAATTTGCCTAAGGTAGGGGCAAGGACCACTTCCTCGGGAAGTTGGTTCCAGATTTTGGCCACCCTAACTGTAAAATATTGCCTTCTGATCTCTAACCTACACCTATTCTCCATCAGCTTATTGCCATTGTTTCTTGTCACCCCAGGTGGTGCTGGGGAGAAAAGGGCTCTACCTATTTGCTGTTGATCTCCCCTGATGAGTTTGTAGGCAGCACCAGGTCCCCCCTCAGCCTCCTCTTGCTGAGGCTGAACAGGTTCAGGTCCCTCAGTCTCTCCTCATAGGGCCTGTTCTGCTGCCCTCTCACCAAGCAGGTGGCCCTCTTCTGAACCCTCTCCAGGCTGGCCACATCCCTTTTGAAGTATGGTGCCCAGTACTGGACGCAGTACTCCAACTGCGGCTTGACCAAAGTCGCATAGAGGGGGAGTATCACCTCTCTGGACCAGGCTGAGATGCACCTTTGGATGCAGACAAGGTATGGCTGGCCTTGCTGGCTGCGCTCTGGCATTGGCGGCTCATGTTCATCTTGGAGTCAATAATGACTCCAAGATCCCCTTCTGCCTCTGTGCTTTCAAGGCAAGAACTCCCCAGCCTGTATGTATCCTGTGGATTCCTTCTCCCAAGGCAGCACCCTGTATTTATCTACGTTGAACCCCATCCTATTCTCATCTGCCCACTTTTGTAGTCTGTCTAAATCTGTTTGTAGCCTCTCTCTCCCTTCAAGTGTGTCCACCTCGCCCCACATCTTAGTGTCATCAGCAAACTTGGACAGCGTGCTTTCCAGCCCCTTGTCCAAGCCACTGATGAAGATGTTAAATAGTGCAGGCCCGACGACCAAGCCCTGGGGTACCTCACTGCTCACATCTCACCAGTTTGAGTACAACTTGTCCACCACTCTCAGTAAGCCTTCTTTAAAATACAGCCAGATCTCCTTGACTCCTCTCCCCCTCAGTCTGACTTCCCAGGGGATCCTGCCCATCAGTTCTCTAAGTGAGTTGAAGTCTGCTTTTCTGAAGTCCAGGGTCCTTACTCTGCTGCTCTCCATCCTTGCTTTCCTCAGGATCCTGAATTCAATCAGTGGTCACTGCTGCATAGGCAGCAGAA